GTCGTGGTTTGCTTCTCAAGACTCGTCGTTGCATCGTCGGTGTGGAAAATAGACCAGTATCAACCTTAGCTCTTTGGTGGTGTACAAGTGTTTTAAGTGTGGTTTGCCTCACATACTGATCTGTATTTGGCAGCTAATGGCGTTAAGTGACCATGAGTTCTCTTTGTCTGGGTTGGAAAATAAAAGGTTTTATTGTATCCGCATGTATTTTAAACTTTTTGGATAATTCCATCGACCTGTGATGACAGCACATGTAAAAACCGATCTTTTCCTTTTATTCAGAAGTTATATTTGCTGTGGTAGCACTTGTTGTTGGCACTGATGGTAGTGATTTCACATCCTGTTTTGTACATCAGGTTTTATGATTACAGTGTTTAAGTTTGTACAACTGTTTATGTAAAAATGGTTTGGTCTGAAGAGACGCCGTGTGTTCACTTCTGATCCTAGACACATAGGAGATCCTACTGGTAATCCTGTTAACTAGTTACAACTGTACCAGACTTATTTTTTACAGAGCTTTACATGCCTTTATTTATTCCTTTATTGGACCATCCAAACCATGTACTCCGTAGTTCAGTATTTGTAGACCAGTTTCACAAATCAACTTAAGGTTAATTGTGGCAAAGCTTCGAATAAATGTTTACTGAGACTTTGCACTGAGCTGCGAGCGCCTGGTGAGGCTCTGAGGGGTGGGAGGGGAGCGGAAGGGATGGGGATGGGAAAGCATGAGGTGGGATGGGAGGGAAGCGGGGGGAAGGAATGGAATGGGAGGGGAAGGGATGAGGTGGGATGGGAGGGGAGGGGAAGGGATGGGAAGGAATGATGTGGGATGGAATGGGATGAGGTGGGATAGGGTGGGATGGGATCCATGGGGTGAGGTGGGGTGGGAAGGAATGGTGTAGGATGGGATGGGGCGGGGTGGGGTGGAATGGGATGGGATGGATGGAATGGGCTGGGATGGGATCCGTGGGATGAGGTTGGGTGGGGTGGGATGGGAAGAGAAGAAATGAGGTGGAAGGGGAAGGGAAGGGATGAGGTGGGATGGGAAGGAATGGGGTGGGATCGGGGGTCCCGGAATGGGTTCTGTGGGGGTCCCCGATCCCATGAAACCGCCCCGCTCATTCTCCCGCCCCTTTCCCGCCCTTTCCCCGCCCTTTCCCGCCCTTTCCCGCCCTTTCCCCGCCCTTTCCCGCGCTTCTCGCGAGGCCGCGGTTTCCCGGAAGCGGTGCCGGCACGGGCCGCACGTGGGGCCGAGCCGAGCCGAGCCGAGCCGAGCCGGGCCGTGCCGTGCCGGGCCGTGCCGTGCCGTGTCCCCGTCCTGTCCCCGTCCCCGCCATGGGCCGAGCGCGCCGCCGGCACAACTGGAAGGCGCGGCAGGCGCGGGGCCCCGCGGCACCGCCCGCGCCGGAGCCGCCGGAGCCGCCGCCGGAGCTGCCGCTGGAGCTGGGAGGTGCGGCGGGACCGCGCTGTGCTCCTGAGACACAGCTCGGGCCGAAACTGTATTGCTTTTAGTTTTATTGGTTTTAGTTTTGAAACCCCCCGGGGAGGCGGTGGGCTCCCCGTCCTGGACGTGGCGCTCAGTGCTGGTCTCGGTGCTCTCTGGGGGCTTTTCCAGCCGGATTCATTCCCTCGTTCACTCCCCGGCTCTGTTACAGCAGTGACTGCCTCCAGGGAGTTCAGCACCTGGGGTCCCTTCCCAATCACGACACTCTGTGGTTCCGTTATTTATTAAATAATCTTCTATTTAATAAATTATTTATTAAATTATCTAAATTCATTGTTTATTAAATAATCTAAAATTTATTAAATCATCTAAAATTTATTAAATAATATAAATTTTATTAAATAATCTAAAATTAAATAATATAAAATTATTAAATAATATAAATTTATTAAATAATAATGCTTTATTAATTTATTAAACATATCTCTTCTGTTAAACATTTGCTTTCTCAAATTTTAAAGAAAAAAAAAGGCGTTACTGCATAAAAATGGCATTTGTTATTCTATCTTTATTATTCATAATCTAGTAATGCAGTTTTTTAGTGTTAAAATCCACTGGTGCCCGTGTGAAGCAGGACACTGGGGGGTCACCCCGGGGCACACTGTGTCCTGACCCTGGGGGATTGAGTAAAAAGGCAAAAATTGCATCATATTGTTACATAAATCTTGGAAAATTACCCTCGGGGCTGTAGAAAGCTCAGGGTTATTGAATCCCCAGTTTCGAGGTCTTTTGCCCTTGCTGATGTTGCAGGATTTTTTTTTTGGCTAGGCATGAGGGTTGTGTTCGTTTGAAGCACCTAAATCTGGCATGGTGCTTGGTAAGCTTGCTAAGAGTGTGCTGAAAATAATCCGCCTGGCACAGGTGAATAATCAAAATAATCAAACCTTTGCCTTCAGATGGAGCAATACTGAAGGGAATTGATGAAAGCAATGCCTTGGTCCTGCCAGCCAAAAAAGCCAAGAAGAAAAAAGTCACCTGTGTTGTGCAGCAGCAGAAGAAACCCCTGAGCAAGAAACAGAAGAAAAACCTGCAGAAGGTTTTGGAGCAGAAGGAGAAGAAAAAACAGGTATGCTGCTGTTTCTGGGAACTCTGTGCCCTTTTAAAAGGATGGTTTGGTGTACAGGTGTTGGGGAGCACATCACTGGCACTCAGTGATGGTTTTGCATTTTAAAAGCACTCTGTGCAACTGATGCTGCGAGCAGCTGTGGCTGCAAACCTCCCTGCACCCCAACATTGGCCTGTCAGTGCCTCTGAAATGCTTATTGTGTATTTTCACTGTGGAAATAAGAGCTTTTCTGTCTTTGTAAAGCCTTTCCAGGCAAAATTCCTGCTCCTGTTGGTGTGTGAACAAAGCTTTCACAGAGGAGCTCTGGTTTTGGAGGCAGTTGCACAGTGTGGCTGCCTGACCTCCTGCCATGCCATGTCCCATGGGAGGGATTTGGGGGGAGGCTCCCATTGCTGCAGGCCCCATTCCAGCGGTTCAGTTCAAATCTCTTTTCTTTGCTGCTCACTGCTGTGCTGTCAAGTCCCCATTTCTATTTTTGCCGAAATCTTCATCAGGGAGGTCTGCCCCCGGAGCAGCAGGAAGGTTTTACAACATCGCAGCAGGGTTTGCCAGAGCACACCTTGGAATGCTGAAGTGCAAATCTTGAAATGGAATTCTTTCCTGGTCAAAGCAAGCTCTGATTTTGGTTTTTTTCCCCAAACAGCGAGCTGAGTTGCTGAGCAAGCTGAACGAGGTTCAGGCTTCAGAGGCAGAAATGAAACTCCTGTACACAACTTCCAAACTGGGCACTGGGGAACGCATGTATCAGGCTAAAAGGTAAAAGTGATTTTTGGGTGGAACCCTTGCAATTGATCACTGTATTTGAACAGCAGCATCCTCAGCTTTCCCTTTATTTATTTTTTTCTTCTCGGTGCAGACAGGTTCTTCAGAATGGATGGAGTTAAATAATGTGCTATTTTTATCCGATAATGTGATATCTGATATTTCTTGTGTGAGAGGATGTTAGTTAAAAGAACTTGGTCCTTCCTATGGGATGAGGATGAGGTGGGTGACACAATCTGCAGGCTTTTAACAATTGTGCTAAATGACAAAACTGGTGGATAAACATTTACTTGTTTTCTTGTGCTGGAAGACATCTACTGATGTTGGCCATAACTGCTAGATTTATCAAGAGATGGATTTATCAAGACTGCATTTGGAGATTAAACTACAAAGATGCCTTCAGGAGAAATGGATAAAGCCCAGGATGGGAAATGCTTAGCTACAAATCCACCAAAGCCAAGGCTTTACCTGGCAGAGTTGTGAAAACCTCCAGGAGATGGAGACCCTGGATTTTGGGGAAGTCATATCTGGTTTGAGGTGCCAAAACCCAGCTCACACGTAGGTGTTTTGTTTCCAGGGTGACACAGGAGCCCAGGACTGATGCCCCTGAAAGGATCAGGAGCATCAGCGGTGCCAACAAGAGAAGGCACAGCTCAGGCTCAGAATCAGAGCCTGAGGAGGAGCCCAGCAGCTCTGAGGAGGAGGAAGAGCAGAAGCAGGACCCTGGGAAATCCTCAGCCAATGCTGGGAATGCTGCTCAAAAGGCAGAGGGAGGAGTGGGGAAGGCAGGGGCTGAGCAGCCTCCAGCTGGTCCCAGAGCCCCAGCGCCCCAGGCAGCCCCTAGCAAGGCTCCCTGCAAGCCTGCAGTGTTTGTCCCTGTGGACAGGAGTCCTGAGATTCAGGTGAGGCTCTGTGAGCAGCACAGTGCTTGTCAGAGGTGTTCCTGCAGCTGGGTGCACTCAGCTCTGCTCCAGCAGCAGGAAAACTCGCCTTGTTTTAGCCTATTAGCATTTATCTTTAGTTTTACATACAGAATTTATTAACAGTCCTTTTCCTTTGCTGGGAAGTCTTCTGAAGTCCCTTTCAGCTCTTTGTTGTTTTGTACCTTATGCTGGATGCTTTTGTCCCATTTGTTGTAGGTAGGGCATCGTGCAGAAGCAGGAAAAGCCCTGCACGAGTCTCAGCAGATGAGGCTCTTGTGAAATGAGTTTTCCCTTGAAGTGCTGTATTAAGAAACTCAAGGGACTCTGAAGTTTCACAAATTAAAGTGCAGGGCTTGCCCTCTGCTTGCTGGGAAGCTGCTCTTATGACTCTGGTTCTCAGCCAGGCTCGTGTGGTGTTAGCTGGTTTTGAGATTTCTGAGTCACGGGCTTGCAGAATTCCTTCTTGTGGGTTTTATGGTCTGAGGAGGGTAACAGTTTTCAGTCCTGGGGAAAATAAAAAAAGAGTGAGAAACAACACAACTAAAATATGTGTTTTACACTATTTAGGAGGCAAGACTAAAGCTTCCCATCCTTGCTGAAGAGCAAGTGGTCATGGAAGCCATTAATGAGAATCCCATTGTGATCATTTGTGGGGAGACAGGAAGTGGCAAAACCACCCAAGTGCCTCAGTTCCTCTATGAAGCTGGATATGCCAGGTAGGAATTGGATTTTATTTGCAGCAGATGGAATTGCAGAGACAGCATTTTGGGAAAAACTAAGCTGTAATCCGTGCATCTTCAGAGCAGTACAGATATAGCAGAAGGGAATCCCAGCGCTTCCTGTCTGTGTTTGTATTCCAGCCATAATCAAGAGTGAGGCTGTGTGGCTGATGCCATTGATCTAGGACCATCAGTGAGAACTCCACTGTCGTTTTCCTGGCTGCTCCTCTGTTTAATGACAACAATTCCTCCTTTTCCTTCCCCCACCCCGTCAGTGCCGGCGGCGCCATCGGCATCACGGAGCCTCGGCGCGTGGCCGCCGTGTCCATGTCCCAGAGGGTCGCCAAGGAGATGAACCTGTCACACAGGTGGGCTTCAAAAAGGCTTGGGACTTTGCTGGGGGGTGGCACGGAGGTGCTCTGGGGGTGGCACGGGCTTTGTGCTTCCCCCCATGCTCTTTCCTGGGGTTTCCCCACAGAGTGGTTTCCTATCAGATCCGGTACGAAGGGAACGTCACGGATGAAACGCAGATCAAGTTCATGACAGATGGTGTGCTGCTCAAAGAGATTCAGAAGGTAACTTGCTGTCCTCAGTGGTAAAAAAAAAAAAAGGGATTTTTTTTTGTATAGCTGAGAAGAGAGGCCAACATGGACTTGTTGCCAGTTTTTCAAATCAGAATCCCTTTCAGCACCAGAGATTTATTTCATCTCTACCCGTGATATTTTTGCCCAAGTCCCTAAACATTAGGTTATTTTGCTGGGTAAAATGAGAGCAAGAGGAGGCTTGGGAACCAGGCTGCTTTGTGTGGGGTGAGTGCATTAAACTGAGTGAGAAGTAGAGCTGGGGATGGGGTCAGTGCTTGTGTAGCTGTGGGGTGTCCTGACCTCCTGGGTGAAATCCATCTCTCTCCTCAGGACTTCCTGCTTTCAAAGTACAGAGTCATCATCGTTGATGAAGCCCACGAGAGGAGCATGTACACAGACATCTTGATAGGGCTCTTGTCTCGCATCGTGCCCCTCCGTCAGAAGGTGAGAGGGAGGCCTCAGGTTTGGCTTTTCTGTGTTCCACATTCTGTGCTGCTTCAGCGTGTGGGTCTGGGCTTCATATCACAGGATGCTAAACTCTTCATAGAGCAGGGAGACAAAACAATTCCTGCTCCAGCTGGGCACCAAGGACAAATGATCCAACTCTCGGCCCAGGAGCACAAACAGCGTGGGCTGGAGAGAGAAAAACAAGCAGGATGGGACTGATGGGCTAAAGCTGGAATTGGGAATGGGCTCCAAGGTGCCAATGGAGCAGAACTGATCCCAGGGAGAGCCCCTGGGAGTGCTTGTGCATTTTGGGACCATTTTGGTTCATTTGGGTTCATTTTGTTCCATTTTGGTTCATCTTGGGTGCAGCCCTGGCTGTGCTCTGGTGCTGCCCAAGGTGGATCCATGAGGAGATCCTTTGAATAAATCCCTGCTTTATTCTGTAACTCCATCCAGCCTCTGTTCCAGGTCAGCCTTCACAAGACATCAGGAGGGGCAGGGCTCCTGCTCTGGACATGGATGTGCCAGGGAGGGTATGAGGAGGTTCTGTGATGTGGAATTCCAAGGAAATCTGACAGAAATAACACTCATTTCTCTTTCTGTATGATTGAAGAGGCACAGAGCCTACACCAAGGGGGAAATAGCACAGATCAGTAGCAAGAGGTGACTTCTCAGGCAAAACCCAGTTCACTTGAGACTTTGATTGTAGATAACTGAATTCCAGCAAGGTGTTTATTGCTGCAGTGGGCAGCAGCAGTGCTCAGGGGGAGCTGTCTGGGCACGGGGTGACAGATCTGTGTCCCTGCAGAAGGGGCTGCCCCTGAAGCTGATCATCATGTCGGCGACTCTGCGAGTGGAGGATTTCACTGACAACACCAGGCTGTTCTCTGTTAAACCTCCTGTCATCCAGGTACTGTCCCCTCCCCGGGAGCTAAATACAGCCAGGGCAGCCTTTATAACACCACAAAACAGGGGCACTCCAATCTTTTCAGCTGGTGCTGAAATCTTTCAGATAAATGATTTAAAAACAGTCATTTTGTTTAGGCTATTGTTTCTTTTGGGACTTGGTGTTTTTCTTTCCACTTTTATCAGAAAACCGCCCTGGCAGAATCTGATTGCCTTGAGAAACTCTTAAGTTATGGTTCAGGAGAGCTAGAAAACTTAAATCTGATTTGATGATGTGAAAGGGAGAAAAGCTTTGGTTTCTAGCATGGTTTTATCTGTTCAGAGCAGACAACACCAGTAATTTCTGTGGGTTTGGTGTTTTGTAGGGTACCAAACTCTAGAGGAGAACAGAAATACAGGGTGAGCTTTTCTGGTTGTCCCTTGGGTGCTGTAATGATTGTGTGGAGTTCTGACAGCAAACAAACCCTTTATTTCTGTAAATACTGTTATTTGGTATTTCTTCTGCAGGTAGATGCAAGGCAGTTCCCTGTAACTGTTCATTTTAACAAGAAAACCCCCCTGGATGACTACAGTGGGGAGTGCTTCAGGAAAGTGTGTAAAATCCATCGGATGCTGCCTGCAGGTAAGAGAACTTCACTGCTGAGAGCCTCTCCAATTGCTCATACTGAACACACCCGAAGTTTGTTCTTCTTGTTGTTTGTTTTTCTTTTTTTTTTCTCTTGTAGGTGGCATTTTGGTGTTTTTAACAGGCCAGGCAGAAGTTCACTCTCTCTGTAGAAGATTAAGGAAAGCATTCCCATACCAAAAAAACAATGCTGCAGGTACTGCTGTAGAAACTTAAACTTCAGATTTACCCCGCTGAGAAGCGGGCTTGCTTTGCATCTAAAAATACAAACTTTGATTTTAAAACCACCACAGACAAGGTTCAGGGCAAGGGCTGGTTGTGGATGATTGTTGTTTCTGATGTTAAATTTTGTGCTGGTTCGAGTTTGGGAAAAGTTCCCTTCCAGTTCCCCCCTGCCTTCAGTTTGCTTCTTCCACACTGGGCATCCCAGAGAGGTGGGAGTGGGGCCAGAGTCCTGCCACTGCCTTTTCCAAGAGGAAAGCAGCAAACAGCTCTTCCACTGCTGCCTTTGTAGGAGCAGAGGATGACAGAGACGACTCGGTGGAAGAAATGAGGAAATTTAAGAAATCGAGGAAGCGGAGGAGAGTTCTGGTAAGGTGTGATGGGTAAAACTCCTCCAAGAGCCAGGAGGGAGCAGGTGCCTCCCTGCAGGCAGCCCTGCTGTGAGGCTGTGCCTCTCTCCAGCTCTTCCAGACCTGTCTGAGGCCCTATAGCCCCTCAGTGCTGCTCACACTGCTGCAGAGTGCTGGAACTCTGCATTATATGGGCAGGAGATTGATTTAGATTGAGTTCTGACCACTAAAACTTGACTGGAAGGAGCTCCAGACTTGCTGGCACCAGGGCTGCTCCTCATCTCGCCATTTGTTACCTAAAATTTGGACTGGATTTGACAGAGAGATAAAATTCTAAGACTACCCCATCTTGACAGAAACTTTTGAACATTTCTTAGACATATCTGGGTTAGGAGGCCAGTCCTCTTCATTCTAAGATCATTATAATAAATGACAATATAAAGAGATGGAATGGGATTTGGCATTGTATGCTTTTGCAATGCCTCCAATTTGAAAAATGTCTGATTTGGAAATACTTTATTTTGCACCTGAGAAATGTGAATCCTTGCCTCAGCTTTGCTTCCAAAGCAATGCAAAGTGCTGCTTGTGTCCCCCTCCTAATGTGCTGTTTTCATCTTCCCTCTCTTTCTCAGACACTGCCCAAAATCGATCTGAACAGTTACTCTGTGGTGCCAGTGGATGAAGGAGATGAAGACAGAGACCTTGACAGTGATGATGATGCTGCAGGCTCTGATCTTGACCTGGATTTAGGAGATGGAGACTCAGAAGAAGGTTTGGCACACGTGAGGGAAGGAATCCCTATCTCGTGTCACCTGTGGAATGAGTGATATGAGTTGGTTTTCCTGTGCTGAGCTGTGGCACCATAGCAGCCCCATGTCACAGCAAAGCTGATCAGGTTTTCCAGCTCCACTCCCAGTTACTGGTACCAGTTTGCACCAGTTGCTTTCCTGGTTTTAATGTGGTGTTTGTGCAGATGTTGCTGGGGCTAAGCCTGGGAGTTGGACTGAGCAGTGCTGGTTTGTTCCCCACAGAGGAGAAATCCGATTCATCCCTGCCCCTGTATGTGCTGCCACTCTACTCCCTGCTGGCACCAGAGAAACAGGCAAAGGTAAAGGATTCCTTGTCACAGTGAGCAGGATATCTTACAGATAACAGTGATCATTGTCTGAAGTCACAAGTGAGATAAAATTCCTATCTTGGACTGTTCTGTCAGCCTGAATGGCCCAGTGGGCAGGTTGGGATGGGACTGGGGCAGCCTGGACTGGGCTGGGGTCTCCCTGATGTGCCACTTCAGCAGGGTGGGAGAGATTGCTGCTATGGGACACAAAATGAGTACACAGGAGCTTGGTGAGTTTAAAAATAGAAAAAGAGCCAATTTTATTTCTGCCCCTTTCCTTCCTTTTTTTCCTTTCCCTGCCCCTTCCCCTCTCCCACACCCGTGTGCCTCCCTCAGGTGTTCCAGCCTCCTCCAGCCGGCACCAGGCTCTGCGTGGTGGCCACCAACGTGGCCGAGACCTCCCTGACCATCCCGGGCATCAAGTACGTGGTGGACTGCGGGCGGGTGAAGCGGCGTTTCCACGACAGGATCACGGGGGTCTCGTCCTTCAGGGTCACCTGGGTCTCGCAGGCCTCGGCCCAGCAGCGCGCCGGCCGCGCCGGCCGCACCGAGCCCGGACACTGCTACAGGTTTCTCTTAGCTTTTTTTGGGTTTTTATTGCTCTTTCTGATGGATTCCCTTGGAGTTCCACATCGCTGGACACAGCCATTAGCCCAAGGATCTCCCCGGCAGTTTGGCATCAGTGTAAATGCAGGGGAAGCTGGTGGGGAGAAATGATGTCTGACTCTAGTTCAGAAGGCTGAATGATTTCTGTATTATAACTGCACTATAATACATTAATACACTGTTTAAAGCCACTTCTAAAACTACAAACCTTTTTCTAACTCCCATATCTGACTCCCAACTCGTGCCCCTCTCTGAGCCCAGCCCCAGGTGGGTTGGATTGGCCACCAGGCTCAAACAATCCTCACCAGAATCCAACCAAGCATCACCCCAGGGAAACAATTCTCCAAGCACATTCCACATGGGAAAACAAGGAGCAGAAATAGAAATTGTTTTTATTCTCTCTGTGCTCCTCTATGAAAAATCCTGAGGGATAGAAGAATGTGCCTGCCACAATCCCACATCCAGTGCCCTTTCCTTCCCCTGCTGCTCGGGGTGCTCTGGGTGTTCCTGCCCTGTGTCCCAGTGCGAGAGCTGAAGCCAGGCATGAGCTGTCCCTGCTGATACTGTTTGGCTGCTCAGGGGCATTTCTCTTGCTGAGAACTCTTGTTTTCATGGCTGGGTTATATTTCACCATGGCCAGATGAATTTAACTCTGAGCCAAGTTAACTTGTGAATAAGGCAAATGCCCCAACCTGTAAATTAAGATATGATGGTGTAAAACTATCCACAGCTGCCTTGTTTTAATCCCTTGCTAAATTTTCCTGCATATCCTTTGAGCTAAGATTTATTTTTAAGTGTCTAAATAACACCTCTGGTTCACTAGGCTATACTCTTCAGCAGTTTTCATGGACTTTGAGAAATTTTCTGCTCCAGAAATAACAAATCGACCAGTAGAAGACTTGATTCTGCAAATGAAGGCATTAAATATAGAAAAGGTGAGCTGGAAAGGGCTTTATACTACAGCATGCATTAAAGTGGTTGCCCTTAGGAGCCAGAAACAAACAGAAATGTATTTTATTGTCATTGCTCGAAGTTGTGCTTTGTGGTAGAAATGAAGATCCTGAGAGTCCATTTTGGTTCTGCACATTGCAGAAGCTGCTCTGAATTCCGCTAGGCCTCAACAGACATGTTTGTTCAAGCAGTAAATGCTTTCTTATAATCTTAGATGTTAAAAAAAAACCTTTCTAAAGAGGGTCTGTGTTTTGGAGATACTGGAGCACTTTCAGGCAGCACAGCACTTAAATTTAGACCTTTCAGCAGCCTGCCCTAGGCGGTGCCTGCAGCCTGTGGCAGCTGAGGGTGATTCTGGTATTCCTGTTTCCTCATGTTTTTGTTCTTAGCATTTCCTGCCATTATGTGTCCTTTCCTTTTGCTCCTGGCAAACATCCTAAATGTTTTCCTTAGGTACACCTAAGCAGAGGGGAGGATTTCAGTCCCTTTCAGGCTGTTTTCCAGTGGGTGCTGTGTCAGTGAGGGGCTGAGGGGCTTTGCTTTCGTTTCCCTAGGTAATCAACTTCCCATTCCCAACACCTCCTCCCACGGAAGCTCTGGCAGCAGCTGAGGAGTTGCTGATAGCCCTGGGTGCCTTGAAGGAGCCCCCCATGACAGGAAGGTAATGCCTGTGGTGCCCCACTGGTGTCCTGCACTCTGCTGTCCCACTGCCCCCGTCCCACCTCACCCAGGGATGTCCTTTGGCTCAGAAACTGGCACCAGCTCTGTCTCTGCTTCTTCCACTGGCCCTGGGTGTGTTTGGGCAGGGAAACACGGTGCTGGGAGCCCAGGCAGGGCTGGTGGGAGCTGTGTGAGGAAGAGGAATGTTTCTCCCAGCCTTTGGGACCAGCACATAACAAAACCTGAAGAAAACACCTCAGATTTGTTGGGCTGCCAGAACGGGGAGCACCAACTTGTTGCAATTCCAAGTTACCTCATTTCATGAGCTCTCTTTCCCCTGGCCCAGGCTGAAGCAGCAGCTGGCAGCGAAGCTGAGCTGCCCCATCAGTCCCCTGGGCAGAGTGATGGCCACTTTCCCTGTGGCCCCTCGCTATGCCAAGATGCTGGCCTTGAGCAGGCAGCACGACTGCCTGCCCTACAGCATCACCATCGTGTCTGCCATGACCGTCAGGGAGCTCTTTGAGGAGCTGGACAGGTGAGTGGCTGGGTGCTCCCCAGGGCTGTGTCCCCGTGTGCCGTTGTCCCTGCACAGTGTGCCGTTGTCCCTGCACAGCGTGCCATTCACAGTTCATTTTGGTACATGCACTGTGCCCTCTGCCTCGAGCACAGCCCTCACACGTGCTGCTCTGTGTCCCCTGCAGGCCAGCAGGCAGCGAGGAGGAGGCAGCCCAGCTGAAGGGCAGGAGAGCGAGGTTTCTGCAGATGCAGAAGGTCTGGGCTGGGCAGGGGCCCATGCAGAAGCTGGGGGACCTGATGGTGATGTTAGGTACAGAGCCTGATTCCCTGTGCCATTCCCTGGGTTCTGTTCCCCTCCTGGCACAGCCAGAGGCTCCCTGGCACTGCAGCACCGAGTCCAGCAGTGCTTCCCTTCCCTGTGCCATTCCCTGGGTTCTGTTCCCCTCCTGGCACAGCCAGAGGCTCCCTGGCACTGCAGCACTGAGTCCAGCAGTGCTTCCCAGGCTCCACTCACTGCCCCGTGCCCAGAGGAAGCCCTGCAATGCCCACACTGCCTGGGACAGTGCTGTGGGTGTCATCAGGAGAGCTGACCAGCCCCTCTGTCCCCTCCCAGGAGCAGTGGGTGCCTGTGAATTTGCTGGGTGCACCCGAAAGTTCTGTGAGGAGAACGGGCTCCGGCACAAAGCCATGCTGGAGGTCCGGCGCTTGAGAGGGCAGCTGACCACAGCAGGTGAGGGGGGGCTGCTCTGGTGGGTCTATTTTTGGGGCATGGCATGTGCACAGAGCTGATTCTTGTCCTCTTGCACCTCTCCCCTGGTTTTTCCTGCAGTGAACTCTGTCTGCAAGGACGCTGGGCTCTACGTTGACCCAAAGATGAAGCCCCCAACAGAAGCTCAGGTCACCTACCTGAGGCAGATTGTGCTGGCAGGGCTGGGGGATCACCTTGCCCGAAGGGTTCAGGCAGAGGAGCTGCTGGAGGACAAGTGGAAAAATGCCTACAAGGTGAGCAGCTGGCTTGGGCTCAGTTCCTCCTCCCCTGTGTGGTGCTCCTGTGCAAAGTTTCTGGCTGGGTGCAGTGCTGGCGATGCCTGTGCTGGCTTCCTGCAGCTTCTCTCGATGGAATTGAAGTTTGCAGTGTTTCCATCTCCTGGTGTTCACGTAGGAAATGTTATAAAAGGGCTAAGAAGTACCATTAGTTCATCTTGTGGAGTGCTTGGTGTCTCCAGAGAAGGTGGAGCAGAAAATGATGGGGTTATTAAAAACCTCCATCATTCAGGAAAGCTACAAATGTACATCTGAGAGAGACTGAAATGAGGGGCAATGAAGAAATGGAATTGTCAGCACTGGTCTTACTCAGCTTCAATCTTTGTGCCTCCTTACAGACTGCACTCCTGGAGGACCCAGTGTTCATCCACCCCAGCTCAGTCCTCTTCAAAGAGCTCCCAGAGTTTGTGGTGTATCAAGAAATAGTTGAGACTACCAAGCTGTACATGAAAGGTGAGTGCTGTGCTGTGTGCTGCAGCCCTGCTGAGGAGCTCAGAAATGCCCTGGCAGAATGTTTTCCCCTCTGTGGTGTCCTTACTGACTCCTGGGATTTGGATCCTTAAGGCTTCCTAGATCTGGATCAGGAGATAAATTGGCCTTTTTTTTTTATTTTTTTTTTTTTTTTTTTTTTTTTTTTTTTTTTTTTTTTTTTTTTTTTATTTATTTACCTGGCAGAATTGGCTGGAGTAAAGCTCACCTTCTGAAATGGCCTTTTGAAAATTTATTTATTTATTTACCTGGCAGAATTGGCTGGAGCAAAGCTCACCTTCTGAAATGTCTGCTTTGCCCCAGCCCTGCCAACCACAGCTGCCCGCTGCTGATCTCTGAACAGATTTTTTACAACATAAAAAGTTTTAAAAAAATGAGGGACAAGTAAATCTGTGGAGATGAGACCCTGACCGTGCCTTGTACCCCTGGGGCTGCTGTGGCCCTTGTCAGCAAACCTGCATCCAGTTGTGTTTTCCCTCCTCAGGTGTGTCTGCGGTGGAACCCGAGTGGATCCCTGCCCTGCTGCCACCCTACTGCCACTTTGGGAAGCCTCTGGAAAAGCCTCCTCCCTCCTACTGCCCTGGCACGGGCCGAGTTCGCTGCCACAGACCCAGTGTCTTCTGTGAGTGTCCCTCAGGGCTGCTGTGGTGCTGCAGTGATGCTGCAGTGGTGCTGCTGTGATGCTGTTATTTTTGACCTGAGTAGCTGATTTAATGTCTCCACCAAGCAGTCATGGTTTTGTTTAAGTCAGTTCAAAGTCTGGGTGCTGTGAGGTTGGATGTGGAGCCATGGGACACAGCCTGAAACCAGGGAAGAGTGGCTGTACTTCACACAGCCTGGTTGTGTTTCAAGCCTCACTTTTGCAGGAATAAATTCCACAGGGCTGAACTTCCCTTCTAAGGGGGGAGATATTCCCCCAGACTTGTGCACAGGGCTGTTTGCAGGCATGCCATGTGTCTCTCTCAAGCAATGAATTTTGCAGCAGATGATACAGACCCTCAGGTAGGGTTCTGTTGGTGTTCCTGCAGCTGCTGCAGTGGTGCTGCTGTGCTGCTGCCTTCACGAGGCTCTCACAGAAGCTCCAAAAGCTCAGCAGTGCTCTGGGCACCTCCGTGGGGTTTGCAGCATTTAAATATTTGCATTTCCCATTGAGGTGGGGTGGCAGTGTCCTCCCCACTTTTCCTGGCACCTGTGCTGTCCCTCCTCCCTGGGCTTGTGCCCTCCTTGGGGAGCATGGGGGAGAGCTGGGGTGTTCTGTTTGTTTGCAGACCGTGTGGGCTGGCAGCTCCCTGCTGTGGAAGTCGATTACCCCGCAGGACTCGATCGCTACAAACACTTTGCCAGGTTCCTGCTGGAAGGAAAGGTGAGAGTGCTCCCAGCTGCACCATTTCCCTGATGTTAGCAATAAGTTTTTAGCCCCATTTTTGGAGAAGATGAACCTCGTGGCTTCATTTTTTGTGTCTTCCCGTTCCTCAGCACTTGCTGGTGCATGCAAGAGTTTGTTGTGGTTGATGAGGTATCTTTAAAACACAAAAAAGCATGAAAAAAAACAGTATTTCAGTGAAAGACACCCCCAAATTTAAATCCTGTTTTTGCAAAGTAAAGAAAAGCTAGTAGCCCAAGTCCACCCTGAGACAGAAGAATTGTCCAAGTCAGTCAGGACAAGACTTAGGGACACATGGATAGGAGGAAATTCATGAATTTCCATGTCATGATGGAGAATATGACATGGAAATTTCTAGTAGCGCAAGTTCATTGATGGTTGTTACCACATCACAATTAATTTACCTTATTCATTATATAATTGTTATAACAAATCTTCCAGGTCTTTAAAAAGCTGAGTTCTTACAGCCAGTGCCTGCTGTCCAGTCCCCTGATAATGCTGAAGACATGGTCCAAGTAAGTTGTGAAAAACAAACTTCAGGTGGTTGTCTCCACCAAACATTTCTTATTTCCTTTCTAAATTTAAAAAATTCAGTGCTGAGAAGGGTGGTGGAGGTGTGACCTTGGGAAAATGAGTTTTTCTGCTGGGCTCTGCTGGCCACTGAGCTCTGCCCAGGTGCTGCCCAGCCCTGTGAGGAGTGGCAGGTGAGCCACTGCTGCCCTCTGAGCTTTGCTTTGCAATTTGGCGCTTCTTCTGCCTTTATTTCTTTTCAAAACCATCTTTCCAACCAGCACTGGAGTGTTTTTGGTGACACTTCCAGGCCTGTGACCCTCCTGGCAGCTGTCACTCCCCTTCTCTCCCCTGGTTCTCTCTCTCACCAAAAGGAACTTTCTCAGGGTTTGCTCTGACTTTTCCTCACATTGATCAGCACAAGGATTGGGGAAGACTTTTGTTAGAAGTGACATATGTTGTCTGAAGCCCTGCGGTGACCGAGTTTCAGTCAGGTCAGAGCTCAGCACGGCCCCTGGGGGCTCCTTGTGGCTCTGCCCTGAGCTCTGCAGCTGCAGAGGAGACACCAGAGCCACCTGCTGCTGCTTCTGACCACAAGAGGTTGTGGTGGGGGGGACAAACTACTCACAGTGAATTTTCTTCAACCAGTGGAACATTTCTGTATGCAGGGGTTGTGTGTTTGTACATCTGTATTTAGACTTTTCAAAGATAAAGGTAAGCTGAATGCTCTAGCTCTGCTAAGCTGTGCTAATGAGCATTTGTTTTACTGCTCCATTTCATTAATTCAGACTTCAGCCCAGGACAGAAGCTCTCCTGCAAGCTCTGGTTAAAGAAAATTGTGATAATCGTGATGCTTTGGTGGCTGCGTGGAAGAAAAACCCTAAATGTAAGTTCTGCTTGCCTAAGTGGGGTACCTTGAGCACTATTGAGTTATAATTTTAAAAAATTGACTATTTCATTTGTTAAGCTCCAGATATTTCCTATTTTCTTACCAGAAGCAGTAATGCCCTGTTTGGTTCTTGTGAAAAATGACAGAAAGCACTTCAGAAAGGAATATTTATTTGTATTCTGAGATTTTTTTTTCTATAGTTGTAACCACAGTTTAAATGTATGGACTATGTTGGTACTTTCCATGGATATATTGATTTTTTTTTTCCTGGTAGAGTGGATTTTTTTTAATATTGGGTACCAGATGATAAGAATTCCTTCACAGAAGCAGCAGCAAAGTGCTGCAGTGAGGCTCACAGAGATTCCTGAGGATGCTGTCAGCTGTGCTTGGAAACATCCAAGCTCCAGCAGCATCCCAGCAGTGGGGTGGTCCCTCAGGAGCTGCTATTCCAGCCAGACTCTCTAACTGCTCCTCTCCTCTGCAGATCTGCTCGCAGCCTACTGCCAGTGGCTGCCCGAGGCCATGCACCAGGAGCTCGCCCTGAAGTGGCCACCAGTAGCCCTGTGACTCCTGGTGTTGATGGATTCCTTTTCTCTGAGGGGTTCTGAGATCATCCCAAGGGTTTCCTTGGAAATCTGGAACAGATGGACTCACCAGCTGTAGCAATACCTTTTTGTAAGCAAACCAGGTGGTGTTGTGCTTTCCCAGGAGTCCTGCAAGTTGTTTGGCTGGTATTTCATAATAGTAATGTTTGGATAATTTTATCCATTGTATTTTATTGAGTTGTTGTTTTTTTTTTTAACCTAGTTTCTCTTTGGACTATATTAGTCATATGAAGTGTAATAAATATGTAAAGTTCTTGGTCTGGATGGGAGAAATGTTTGCTGTGTGGGATGCTGCAGTGAGCAGAACATCAGAGCTGTGCAGGCACAGGTATCAGACAGAACCTGGGCAGCAGCTCAGGGCAGGAAGCACAAAAATGAGGAATTTAATGGGCTGAGATAGGAATGGTTTAATTAGTGAAGGGAAGAAGTTTAGTTTACCTTCACCTGCTCCTTTTGAGCCTTGGTATAACCACTGGTCACACTGCTGCTTGTGACACTCTGCAGGAGAAAGGCTGGACAGGGACCCTCCTGTCCCCATGCTCTGAAGGAAACTGGTGCTGCCCAACTGCCTGGATGTGTGTCCATAATTCTCTCCATAATTCC